TTTTGTTTGTGGTTGGAATTACAGACGGTTCTATAAAGCAAATCTAAGTTCTGGGAGAAGTAAGGACGGACAAAGGAGAAGGAAAACATCGTCATTAATCAAGTCTATGTCATAAAAGTGGATTAAAGTCCCTGGTTTCCATGAACGAAGCCATTTTTGTAAAAACACGTAGAGGCTGCACATGCCTTTGCCCTACGTGCCTACATTTGAGTTTGGAACTTTTTTTCCCAAACGGTAAGCATCCATGCTTTGATAACGTTGCTCTTCTATGATTGCTATCAAGATAAACAGTCAGACTTTAAGTGCATGACGGGCTGCGCCCCGAACTATCTGACATCACAATTTGTCAAAAGGCAACAAATATCAAGCAGAACCACAAGAAACTCACAACAACTAAATATTCCCCTGTGCAAAACCACTGCTGCTCAGAGATCTTTTTATTACAGAATAGTAAAACTGTTGAACTCTTTTGACAAAGACTTGAAATTATGCGAAAGTCATGCAAATTTTAAGAAAACTCTGCAGACAAAGCTTCTCTGCGAGTTCTTAAATTAAATTTTTCTTACTTCTTTTATTTTTCTTCCTTTCTATTTTTTATATATATATATAATTATTGTACTTCATACATAATACATAACTAGTGTACTTTGTACTTATCTCACCTCATGTATTATATTGTTCACTGAAAAACCTTATAAGGAGTGTACAATAAAATTTTATCTTATCTTATCTTATCTTATCTTATCTTATAGATCCCAAATAGGAATGTTGCTCTTCCTTGATCCTTGATCAGGTGATCCTTGATCCTGTTTTTCCAGAAACCCTTAGTAATCCACCAAAAGAGCTCAGCCATGTCAACATTCGTACTAAATGTGTTTATATCGAAAGCACAAGATACATGAAGATACATGAAGATACATTAATCTGAAGTTCTATTTTAACAAGTACGCAGATATCTTAAGCAACAGTCCTTAATTCCTATTAGTCAAAAGCTACATTATTTCAAGAAAGAAAACATCACATTACAGCTGNATAGATCCCAAATAGGAATGTTGCTCTTCCTTGATCCTTGATCAGGTGATCCTTGATCCTGTTTTTCCAGGAAACCCTTAGTAACCCACCAAAAGAGCTCAGCCATATCAACATACGTACTAAATGTGTTTATATCGAAAGCACAAGATACATAAAGATACATAAACATACATTAATCTGAAGTTCTATTTTAACAAGTACGCAGATATCTTAAGCAGCAGTCCTTAATTCATATTAGTCAAAAGCTACATTATTTCAAGAAGGAAAACACCACATTACAGCTGAATACATAAGAGTTGAGCTCTAACGATTTCTTTAACAGTGGTTATATTTGGATAAACTGTAATACCTGAGTGAGTAGGAATCATCATTTCCCATATTCAGAAACGTCTTCTTTCTAAGATCAAACCAAAATAACAATGATCAAAGTTCCATGGGAAAACAAAATAAAATGAAAACAATAAAAAGCTTGAGTTCAGTTGATCGAGTAAATGGTTGAGATAACCAAAGATATTCCTGTTTCAAAGACATTTTGTTTTACCAAAAAGTGTTGCTTGCATGCATATTTTTTTTCACCACTTTTACGATGCAAGTCCATGCTCCTTTCTAACAAATGCTATACAGCTGTTTCGAGATCGCTTGTCCCACAGAAGCGTAAGAAAACAATACGAAAGTTGTTTTGGTTCGTGATAGTTCACCGTTGTTCTCGGATTTAATTTCACGGTGTTCCAAAGCCATGAACACACGTACTAATACTACCTTCGTGTATCGCGCTTCGTCTATCGTGAACTTCGAAGAAGCAACGGACAACTATCACCACCCATAGAATTTTTCGGTATTGTTGCCTAAGCATTTTCGCTTTTGACGGATAATAAATTTAAATAGCTGTAAAACAATGCAAACACGTAAATGGTACTCGAGATATCTTATTGCTTTGGGTTCCTCTACAAAATCCTTTACAACTTCGAAAAAATCAATATATTATCACTGCAATAATTAAGGAATAATTTGACGAATATTTACCTTTTCGGCTCGACTTTCTAGCTTCCTCTGTTTACTTACAGTTGTTGTTTCTGTTGATCATTGAGAACAATTACTAATTTGAAATTATTAATTTACATACGTTTTGGTTAAGAAGAGCTAAGATGCTGTAACCTTCAACAATAAACGTCGTCCAGGTGTAATTAGAAATTTTTTAAGTACGCGAGCAAGTCAACAAGCACCCTGTTATATAAATGTCTGGTGTGTATTCGTTAACAGAATTCAGCTCGCACATCGATACAACCCCCAGTTTCTAATCTCCGTCTGGAGTTCGAATTTGTGACTGTTTTGGATACACACGTTGCCTCCAATAGAGAGTTCCTGTTACCCTTAAAATAGCTCTTTTGTGTATGATATCTAGCCTTCCGGAACAATCATTTGTTATAATAACTACTTACATGTACGTGAACTTGTATATGTATTAATCGTGCAACGTATAAATGAGTGTGCAAATAAGAGTAATATTACAAAATTTTCTCGAACTTGCACGATCGAGAGTGTAGGCGAGTTCAAGTTGAAAGAATTTTAGAATGTCACGAGTAGTGCAAAATGTTTTGCTCATGATAAGCCTTCCAAGAGGCATTATAAACAACTTCGAAAGGGCACTGCAGTAGTTTGTACTTGCACGTCGTTTGTAACTGCACTAAACATCTCTTTGCCTTCGAAGGGGGGAGGGGTTCTCCTTTAAAAGGATCTCTCAGACCAACGTTTCTATACCATTTCAAACAATGGAACTGGATGATCTGTACATATTTTAATGTACTTTCTGAAATCCAATGATTTTATATTTTTTGCTCACGTTATTGCTTTGGTTTTAATGTCAATGAACTTTAATCTGAAGTTAGAAGTCAGCTTGAAAAATGCGTCATTTAGTTTTAAAACCATGCACTAACCCATACAAAATAGAACAACCTGCAACGAGATCTCGGGTTAAGACAATTTTGAATCATGGTACCTACCTCTACCTGTATGACTTGTATGAGAGCGTTTTCGCTGCGAGGCTGTCCCCACTATTCTTAAGCCGCTTGTTTCTGTACATTGTTTTAGCGAAAAAAAAAAAAAAAGAAATGATTTCTTTGGTATTCCAAAGTATAAAGATGTCGACAGCTTGAGACACAATGGAAACAGCTAGTCATTAGGTTTAGGTTCGTCACAACTTTTTGCTTCTCACGGCTGGTTAATTGCCGGCTGTTTAGTTATGAAAGCCAAGATTTTAACAGAGATGATAGTAAAACACTATTTCATTATTGCTTATTGCATTTCATATGCTTGAGACGACTGGGTGTTAAAACGAATGCAAAAACAGCATTGAAACCATAACACTAGCGCTCGCAGGCGATCAAAGATTACCCTATGGAGCCACCTTAAACCCATTCAGATGACGGGCACCACTCTCAATGTTGTTTCTGCTCACATCCGCATTTGTCAACGTGCTATTCACTTCAAGGGCTTCAGAAGCTTTCATATAGAGATGATCCGCACCACTATCACCAATATCGTTCACGCTCACATTCAGAACCTGTGACGCATCGGAGCGGCAAGAGCGCGACACTTTCTGTGCAAGTTAGTGACGTGTGCTAAATACGGTCCTCTGATTGGCTCATTCAAAAATCTTGCGCTCTGATTGGCTATGCAACTGTTGAGCGTCTTACACTACTCGTAGTGTTCAAATGAAGAACATTCGTTTACTTACCACAATATTGAAACCAGTTGCACATCCTTAATCGTAATCAAACCTCCTCTGAATCAATGACTGATATTCATTTTCCTACTAAACCGTTTCATATATTAGCAATTACACTACAGGTGAGAGTTTTCTACAAGCGAATAGCCAATGAGAAACAATGGAATCGCAGGAAGCCAGAGCTAGTACTTTAATTGTTAAAAGATTCTGTAGCACACCATCGCAATGAGAACGGGTGATTATTCAAAATTTCATTGCTATTGCAATTTTTATTTCTTGGCAAGCCGCCTG